TTTTCTTTTGAAACGGAAACCTGAAGCTGATTTTCCGATGATTTTGTTTGGTTGTGAATGGAAGCGCTCAGGTGTGTTTCCATAATTCCTGACTTAACAATTGTTGGATGGTAGAATGAACTATCTATCTTATCCGGTTTGTTTTAAACTCTCCTAAGAGGGGTAACTAAAATACATGGGACCCAGGTATTCTAAAGCTGCCTATGATAAGTATGAGAATAAACAAATTTTCTCATTTTGCAGCTTTCATTTTTACTTAGAAAAAGCAACTGACTTGGGCATTGTAGTTACAAGCATGATATCTATTCTCATGTTCTTATTTTCACCCTCTTCTTGAAATTTAATATGGCTTTTGCTATAAATATTTTGCAGATATCTTATGTATGGAGACATATCTACTAAGGCAGCTCACATGCTATCACTTCCTAAGGTTTTAAATTCAAGAAAGATGATTTAATTTTATCATTATTTTTTTAATGTTACTTTATTATATATTGAAACCTGTTGTATTCAAGATCAACGTTTTCTTCTTTCATTGGATGCTTTAAATAACTTATACTGCATGGCCTTCAGGTTTCAGATTTCTTTACAAGGTTAATACAAAGAGTTTCTCCAAAGAGTTACCAGCAGGCTTTTGGAGAAGTCTATGTGACACAAAAGTTTCTAGAGAATTTTTGCGGGGATCAGGTATATCAAAATAAGACATGCTAGTGCTAATTAAATGAAATGTTAAGTACTGATATACCATTCTTTGTATGGATAGATGAAAGAATCTAAATTACCCATTGATTGACAGATATGATCAATTTCCTTTATTTTGCTGATGCTTTGATTCTTCATTAGTGGAAAAATTAAACACTGATACTTGCACATGTGTAGAGACAGTCGCTCATAATCTCATAATTCCTGTATTGATTTCTTCTTTGTTGTTTCATTTAACAAAATCTTGATAGGTTCGTTTCTTAGCAAGATCATTTGCAGTACCCGGAAATCATCTTGGACAACAAAGTCATGGTTTTCGTTGGCCCTATGGTCCTGTAAGGATTATGTTTTGTTTAAAATTTTCACGATTATCATTGGTTTACCTGATATGCTATATACTAAAGGAAAAAAATGAGTTTTTCATTTGCTAACCAGTGCTTTGTTTGGTGTGTCAAAACTATCAATTACCTTGTGGTCACGCAATTCAGTTGTACAATAATGGCCACGGCAGGAGTGGCTGATTTCCCTTTGATTCTTTTAGGCTTGTTATCCCAAAAAGAAAAAAAAGAATGTTGCGTGCGCTTTCAATTAGTTACATATGATAATAAAGGCAAAACCCTGAACTCAGGTATTCTTACCTACTAGAAAACTTAAGTCTTTTATGAGGTAAATGCTATGATTGCTATCTTTGATTAAAAGTAGTTTCTTTCTTTTTTTCTTGTACAAAAAGGTTTATGTTGTATCGATTTGACTTGACTTCTACTCAAGATAAAACATTGAAAATCATGAGATGTTTTCTTGTTTTGAATTGAATTTTTCTTAGATTAGTGCTGCAATGTGGAGAAGTTTTAGAGTTTTTTTTTCATGGGTGTCTGATTTAGTATGTGAATTCATAGATTGTTTTTTTTTTTCTTTTTCTTTCGGACATCATAAACATTTACCTATCACTCCTACTGTAATCTTAAAGCTGAAAGTGTGTTTTGTAGGTGGCAATTATTACTCCTTTTAATTTTCCCTTAGAGATTCCTGTTCTTCAATTGATGGGTGCACTCTATATGGGCAACAAACCAGTCCTTAAAGTTGATAGCAAGGTGAGTTCTTTTGACTCTGATTTGGGGACACTTTATGACATTTAATTCAAAATTGATACAGGGCTAGCTTTAGGGCTACATGAGATATTTAATCCAATCAGTTATGGTGAAAATAGTTGTGATGCAATGTTTTTTTTTTCTTACATGTGTGCGTTTATGTGTGTTGGGGGAGGGGTTCATGCCTAAAGAAACCATTGTATTTATTTCCTTTTCACATTCTTGTCTTCATCTTCAAACTGTTTGATTTCTGAAATGTTAACTCTTTGCTTTTAATATTTTAATTTTTTTTTCAGTTATAATCCTGAATTATTGACTCAAATTGTTGTAGGTGAGCATTGTCATGGAACAAATGTTACGTCTGCTTCACACCTGTGGCTTACCTGTTGAAGATGTAGACTTCATAAATTCTGACGGGAAGACAATGAACAAACTGTTACTGGAGGTTGGTTGGCTGTTCATCCAATGCTTTGATTCCGCAGAGGATTATATTTATGATTCTATTTCATGATAATGTCAATGTTCATTTTGCGGATGATATTTGTACATGGTTACATGTTCCTTTTATAAGATGATATTGGATCATGAAGTAGTATTGAATTTACAGGCAAATCCACGAATGACCCTTTTTACTGGTAGTTCAAGAGTGGCTGAGAAGTTAGCCCTTGATTTGAAGGGCCGTGTTAAATTGGAAGATGCTGGATTTGACTGGAAAATACTGGGTCCTGATGTCCATCAGGTTTCTTACAATTTTTTTTTTGGACATGATAAAGGCACTAACTCAATTTTCTGTTCATTAATAGTTTCTCTATGGTTTCTTGGTTCAGGAAGATTACACTGCGTGGGTGTGTGATCAAGATGCATATGCATGCAGTGGTCAGAAATGCTCTGCCCAATCATTATTATTTATGCACGAGGTCTGTCACATTCGGTATCTTGAGATTTTGTTCATGATTATATGTCTTCAAGAACTGCTGTGAAGATATACATTAACTTTTTATTTTGTAAAATACACTTTATATGTATTGTGTCTCTACTAACTAGAAGTTTTGAATTTATCTGGTTCAGAACTGGTCTAAAACTTCCTTGCTATCGAAGTTAAAAGATCTTGCTGAAAGAAGAAAGTTGACAGACTTGACAATTGGCCCAGTCCTCACAGTAAGTATTACATGTCCATCATCTCCCCCTTTAAGTAATTGAACCAGGATTTAACATTTAAAGGTTTTTTTGGTGGCTTGCTCGAAGTTTGTGACATTCTTCTAGTTAAATAATGTTATTAAAAACTAGACCGATTGGTCAAGATACAAGTCAATAGATCACTAGTTGACTATTGCTTAAACTACATGTACGTTATTTATTAAAAATATAAATCTTATTATAGAGAATATCTAGTACATAATCAAATGTCTTAGCTTGGTAAATATAAATCCTTTTCCATTATCTGAAACTGAGACTGAAACTGGTGTTTGGTTCCCACAACATGCACTATTTTTTTTCTTCTTCAAATTTTAGAATTTAAAAAGTGATTCCCCTAGACCCAAGTTCAAACAAGTTGAATGCAATTCCCGTTTGAAAGACAAACCGAACCTATTATAGGTTCAGTTTCTGGCATCTGGTCAAACTGAACAGTCCAGTCAAAGTTAATAATACCAGAAAGATATAATGCATCTGCCATTGGGTACAGCAATAAAAGATAATGCGTCTAAACAGGTTGTTGTAATATTTATTTAGTTTTTCATTTACTTGATTTTGAGTTCTTTATTTTTCATCTCATATGTTGCAGGTTACGACTGATTCTATGCTTGAACATGTCAATAAGTTGCTTGAGATACCAGGATCAAAGCTGCTCTTCGGAGGTCGACCTTTGGAGGATCATTCAATTCCGTCTATTTATGGTGCTATTAAACCAACAGCTGTTTATGTTCCTCTTGAGGAAATTATGAAGGATAACAATTTTGAACTTGTGACAAAAGAAATATTCGGACCCTTCCAGGTATGGGAAGGGAGAGTAAAAAAATATGAGAATGAAGTTTGCAGATGCATGTTGTTTAAAACAAAAATAACATTAGTTTGTTCTGTTGAGATATAAATAATTTCTTTTTATATTTCCAGATTATTACCGATTACAAAAATAGTCAACTATCAGTTGTATTGGATGCTTTGGAAAGAATGCATAACCATTTGACAGCTGCTGTAGTTTCGAATGATCCTTTATTTGTGCAGGTAAGGATTTTATTACTCAAACTTATTACTGGTTCTAGGGCATGTGACATGAAACAATTCATCAATTTTTGAAATCTAGGTCTCACTCATATCAACTTCATTTTAAATTTTCTCATTTCTCATTTTTGTTAGAAAATCATGAACTTCTCGTCTTTCATATTTGATTCATGAAACAAAATTATAGAGGTTTAGTCGATTACACTATATATATATACTGAACATTTAAAAATCTATTCTGCATATTAGATAAAATTGCCTGCAAGAATTTTTCGTGGTAATTAGAGTTCAATTCCAAAATTGATATGACTTGTCTGCTGAGCACATATATAAGTTGATATATTCAGAAACGTTATCATGAATGGCCATTGTTTTATGTTGGGATCTCCACATTTGTGATGCAACGCATATTTGCAGGAAGTCATTGGCAAGACGGTAAATGGTACTACTTATGCTGGTTTAAGAGCAAGGACAACCGGAGCTCCACAGAATCATTGGTAAAATGATATATATATATATATATATATATATATATATATATATATATATATATATATATAATTTAACTTTTTTACTTGCAAATAAATGACCAGTGATGTCATGTTGGAAATAATAATTTCATTGCAGGTTTGGACCCGCCGGTGATCCTAGAGGTGCAGGAATTGGTACTCCAGAGGCCATAAAACTTGTATGGTCTTGTCACAGAGAAGTTATCTATGATTATGGGCCGGTGTCAAAGAATTGGGAAATTCCTCCATCTACTTGAAAAGAAAGTCTTATGATAGGAACAATAGATGAGGAATGCAAAACTAGGAGTCTTGTTTGTGATTGAAATGATGAGATTAGGAATGTAAATGGGGAGGAAGTATATTAGCATGTAGTTTATTATGCCATAAACCCTCACTATATTTTTAGAGTTTTGAATAAATTTATGGAAATTGATTTTTGAATAAGCTTTTTTACATCTAATATATTGTTGTGCTTGTCATTGGTTGAGGTTCTGACATAATAAATGGAAGCACTCTTTACTTCAAAATTATACTATATACTATTCAACAAAATATATGACAAAAAATGTTTAAGTATAATCGGATTTTTCTAAAAATTATATTTAAATATATTATAAATGCAACGTCTTTTTACTTATAGTTTATATACTTTTATTTCAAAAAATTTACATTTATGTAACAGATATTATTTCCAGGGTGTAATATATTAGTGTGTTAAATGATTTTAAATTAGATTATTTATTTATATAAATATGATTTATGAATGGTCTTCAAAATTGGAAAGAAAGATTGAAAATTTGACCAAAAGGGGACTTCCGTGACCTGTAACTCGTCGTTACCAGAATTAACAAGAACACAGAAAACTCTCAAAATGAGAAACTTCCATAAAGTTATTCTTTGTAGGCTAAGGCTAGACAATCCTTAAAATAATAAAAGTAAATATATTAATAAGATTTTACTTCCTACTAATCATCTTAATGATTCACTAAGCTTCATTAATCATCAGAATTAAAATGTGATAGTTTTTTGTTTGGTGAGTTTAGGGTATTGACAAAAACTTTTTTTTTAAAATATCAATTATGATGTAATTTCTTTAATATTCATCAATTTATTTTATTAAATTTGCTTCTCCCTTTTAATTTTAGACCTAATTATAGAATTCCAATATCATTTTTTTCTAATCTCCATCAATAATAATAATAATAATAAGTGATGTTATTTAAAAAATAATAATATAAAATAAAACATTTAATAAATAATACTTGTTTTAACAATTTCCATGTAATAATAAAAGATCAATTTAAAAAAAATTATAATAATAGTTTTAAAATTGTATAAAAGTATTTTGATTAATCAACTGTGTAATTTGTTTTATAAAGATTTAAACATTACAATATTTCGACATTTTTTTTTTAATTCAAGCATAGATTAAAATGACAAAACCCTAAACCCTGGCATTCCAGTAGAAAGGGGAAAGGCTGCGCACCGTTTGGTGATTATTGTCCCTCCTCCTTTTGCTGTTCTCCACTTTTCTCTCTGGTCTTCGATTCCTTATCATTTTGGGGCGTTTTCTTAATCCCTTATTGGTTTCTCTCTATTGGCTACCTTGCTCTAGTCTGCTTCCTCTTATCAACGCCTGCCAGAATATCCTTCGAATTGCGCCTGTGCCTGTATCAGAGGTAACTCTTTATACACCTGTGAATGTGAATGAATTGAACCTTTACTTTTAAAACAGCTTCTTTGTATATGCAAGGGTAACACAGTGTACAATGACCCTTTTCCGTACCTTTACATTGCGCGGTGCCTTTGGCGCTGGAATTTTGGTTACTGTCACATGACACTGCTGTTGCCAATCACAATTTCTGGTAACTGGACATGATGCGAACAACATTAATTTATACTAGGTGTATGATAATTGTTCATATTATTAGGTGTATGAACAACATTAATTTATATTAGGTGTATGATGATACAATCATGATACTAGGTGTATCATACACCTAGGTGTATGACGATACAATGATGATTGCTCATACTAGGTGTATGAGATACAATGATGGTTGCTCATACTAGGTGTATGACGATACAATGATGATTGTTCATATACTGGGTGTATGACGAAACAATGATGATTGTTCATATACTGGGTGTATGACGATACAATGATGATACAATGATGATTGTTCATATACTGGGTGTATGACGATACAATGATGATTGTTCATACTGGGTGTGTGACGACATTATTTTTAAACTTCAAACAACCTCCCAATCAGGAAACCTTCAAGATGACTATTACCTTAAACCAGAAACATTGTCTATAATAACCTTAGAAAATCCCTGGATCAAACAAAATGCCAAAATCATGTCCCAATATCTTTTTCCAAAAGAATTTTATTACCTACCCACTATTATAGTCAAAGATCTACCCACTAGTATAGTCAAAGATCGTACTTTCTATGAGTTCATATTAATAGACACTGACTCAGCCGAGATTATTCATAAACGTGATGAACAAGGAGTTATTCGATATTCCAAACTCAAAATTTTAAAAATTTTATCACCCGAAGAATGAAATCATCCACCTTACCATCTAAAATCCTTTTCCTGAACTTTTAACCCCCAAACCTATGATTATTATGACTACATGGACGTCTGGTATAATACTCTGTATGTATACCCAGAAAATCATTCCTAGTTTATTTGGTTCAAAAAAGGTATCTCATTGAGATTTCCAAAATGGTTTATCAAGTGGTTTTCACATATGGGGCCACTCCCAACCATCTTTCCGTTCTAAAAAATATAATTATTTTCGACAAAAGACCTCATTTGAGCAAGGATATAGATTAATATCTTTTATTGTCACCCAATCAATAGCCTGGATTATGGCATGGGACTTTACAATCGAACAATTCTATGAAAATGCTGACATCAAAGCTTTATCAAGACAGAACAAGATAAAGTGGTGGAAGAAGTTTAATCTGGATATTATCAATAAACAGAGAATCGATATTTGGCAAGCCAATTATCAACAAAAGCAAGAAGATAAAACTCTGACAACGTTGACAAGAGAGTCATTATTTTTAGCAGAAAAACAAAGATTATTAGAAGAATTAGAAACAACCTCTAGTATTGAAGAAATGGAAAAACTCATAAAAAATAAATCAACAACTTCCAAGACACCTTCAGATGGGAGCAGCAGTCATTCGAACCCATTCAGCATGTTCAATTAAACAACTGGCATCCTTATCCACAAGGAATCTTTAAAAGTAAAAAAAGATCTTTATGGCCGACAAAAGTAATGATATGTGACAACACTATCTTAAAAGAAGATTCGACATAATTCATGGACAAAAATGTAATTAGTATAAGGATAAATATGTAATTCTAGTAATTTCAGAAAAGAAACTAAAAATATTCCAATCAAAAATAAGATTTTTAGGATATGAAATTTATCGAAATACTGTAACCCCAATACAAAGATCATTAGAATTCACCACCAAATTTCCAAATGAAATAAAATATAAAAACCAACCACAAAGATTTTTAGGATATGTAAATTACATAGCAGACTTTATTCCCAATAGGAGGATCATCTGTGCATCCTTATTCAAAAGATTGAGAAAAAATCCTCCATCATGGGAAGAAGAGATCACTCAATCAATAATTAAAGTAAAAGAACTAGTCAAGAAAATCCCTTGGTTAGGAATTTCAAATCCAGAAGCCTCTTTAATAGTAGAAACATCAGAACTAGGATATGGGGGAATTTAAAACAAAAAATTCAAGAGTCCTCTAAAAAACAAGTTGTCAGGTATCATTCGGATATCCGTCATCCAACACAACAAAAGTATTCCACTGTCTAGAAAGAAATTCTATCAATAGTCTTTATGTTTACAAACATTTCAAGATGATTTATTTAATAAAAAGTTTTTAATAAGAATTGATTGTAAAGCAACACCCAATGTTTTAATAAAAGATGTTCAAAATTTGATTTCTAAACATATTTTTGCAAGATGACAGGTTTTATTATCTTGCTTTAATAGAACATATAAAAGGGAAAAATAATTCTTTACCAGATTTTTTAACCGGAGAATTTTTACAAGATAAACAACAATGAATGAAAAGCCATTAAGTCGAGATCAATATGGTCCCCCACTGGGATCAACAAATGCAGGTATGACACTATCATTAAGACCACAAAGTCCACAAGTTAAGGCAACCTTAGCAGAAATATTAAAAACTCCATCACCAATATCCAAAAGTCCTTTAGTAAATACTTCAAATAGATTCACCCCTTTGCAATATTCTCATACTCTAATAAGCCCAAAAGATCTTATTACCTCCTCCTCTTCCTATCAACCTACTCAAGACATTATTTCTAAACCTCAAACAGCCTCCCAATCAGCAAACGTTCAAGATGACTATTACCTTAAACCAGAAACATTGTCTATAATAACCTTAGAAAAATCCTGGATAAAAAAAATGTCAAAATCAACAAAAAGATGGGAAGTAAATGATAATAATAATGATAGTTACATAAATTTATTAACCTTAATAACTAAAATAGATGTTAAAAAGAAACAAATAAATATGATAAATAAAGAGATAAAATTCAAAAGAATAGAAGAACAAATTACTACACCAAAAATCCAAGAAATTATAAAATCATATGAACAAAGAATAAGTAAAGAAATATGTGAAACTAACCCTACTGCTTTCTGGCATAGAAAAAAATACACTATCTCCTTACCATATATAGATCTTGTTGTTTGGCAGGATAAAATAGAGATATAAAGAAGTAAACTTGATAATAAACTTAAAGAAACTTGATAATAAACTTAAAGATAAGATAAGAAAATAGCTTACAAATATTGAAGGATCACAGAGAAAACTCGTATACATGAAGAACTTCAAAAGAGTTTGATTATTTGAGTAAAACATACATTTTTCTCCTCTAAGGATTGGATACCCCAAGAGTCTTATTTATAACCCATGGTAGAGGGTTTTAGTATTTTGATAAATTTCATATTCTAAAAATCTTATTTTTATTATGGTTAATTTCTTTTGAAAGATTTAACTCTCTTATGATTTCTTTTCCTTCTAATTCTAACAACAATCAACAACAACAACAAATTTTTATTAATCAATTGTGTAATTTGTTTTACAAAGATTTAAACATAACATTACAATATTTCAACAATTGTTTTTTTAAATTCAATCATTATTATAGATTAAAATGAAACCCTGGCATTCCAGTAGAAAGGGGAAAGGCTGCGCACCATTTGGTGATTATTGTCCCTCCTCCTTTTACTGGTCTTTGATTCCTTATCCCTTATTGGTTTCTCTCTATTGGCTACCTTGCTCTAGTCTGACGCCTGCCAAAATATCCTTCGAATTGCACCTATGCCTGTATCAGAGGTAACTCTTTATACACCTGTGAATGTGAATGAATTGAACCTTTAATTTTAAAACAGCTTCTTTGTATATGCAAGGGTAACACAGTGTACAATGACCCTTTTCCGTACCTTTACATTGCGCGGTGCCTTTGGCGCTGGAATTTTGGTTACTGTCACATGACACTGCTGTTGCCAATCACAATTTCTGGTAACTGGACATGATGCGAACAACATTAATTTATACTAGGTGTATGATAATTGTTAATATTCTTAGGTGTATGATGATACAATCATGATACTAGGTGTATGATGATTGCTCATACACCTAGGTGTATGATGATACAATGATGATTGTTCATACTAGGTGTATGATAATACAATGGTGTATGATGATACAATGATGATTGTTCATATACTAGGTGTATGAGGATACAATGATGATTGTTCATATACTAGGTGTATGACGATGGTTCGTATGATGATTGTTTATACTGGGTGTATGACGATGGTTCGTATGATGATTGTTCGTACTGGGTGTATGACGATTGCTCGTACTGGGTGTATGATGATTGTTCATATTGGGTGTATGACGATGGTTCGTATGACGATTGTTCGTATTGGGTGTATGAAGATGGTTCGTATGACGATTGTTCGTACTGGGTGTATGACGATTGTTCGTATGACGATGGTGTATGATGATTGTTCGTACTGGGTGTATGACGATGGTGTATGATGATGGTGTATGACGATGGCATATGATAATTGTTCGTATGATGATTGTTCATACTAGGTGTATGATGATTGTTCATACTAAGTGTATTTGAAGATCTTAGAATCAGTACCATGCTGGAATCGGTACCTTTGCCCTTGTAACGGGTCTTATGCAACAATACCACATCCGAAGCTGGTCTATCTGTTCTATTTCAAAGTACTGAAGTTGAACTTGAATCCTTTAAATGTAGATAGATCCATGTGTAGCTTTGACATCAACAGTTGCTTCAGTAGCCAATGTGCTGTATGGGCTTATGATCCTAACTAATAGACTTGCCCTCTTTCTCTTTGGCTTTCCTTGATTTTGGATTCTGTCATCCTTTTTACGGTTCTGATTCCTTGATTTCTAACCATTATTACTGATCTCTTTCCACCCCTTGTGTGATGTTCAACTGCCCGTTTGATCTATAGGTGCGTTTTGTTTACGAGCTTTTGTCACTTCTCATGCATTCCTTTTCCTTGTTTTGGTTGTTCTATTCTGAAACTAAATAAAATGAAATGCTTCTTTGATGTTTTCTCTTTCACAATCATGTACGAGTAACTGTTTTCATTTCTGCAGTTAAATAAAATGAAATTCTTTTCTGGTTTAGTGTCTTCGCTTGAGTGTCTGAGGTTTATTTGTTTTGCTTGTTTTGCAGGAATCTTGCAATTTCAACCATGACTTTGTTAGAGGTAATCAAGGATGCTTCAATCAATTCAAAACCGCTTGATTTACCTTTGGATTACCCAATTGTTCTGAACCCAGATAGTATCTTACCCAATTTAAAGCCAAAAGACATAGATGAATCTTCTTCATCACTCATAAAGCCCCTTATCGGATGGAATGTTCCGCCAACTGTTGCTGAGATCACTGACATTAACAAAAAGTTCTTTACACAGCTGAATGCTAGGTTCATGAACACTAATAATTTGGATAAGGGTGAGTTTATTAGTAGTTTGAAGTCTTATCTAGAAAACATCAGGGACAAAGTAGGGGTTGTGATTGAGGTCGATACGTCCAGTAGTGATTATAACAGGATTTTGATTGATAAGCTTGGAACATTCGTGGGTAAAGATGTTGCTGGCCTGGTATTGAATGGGTGTGTATCTTTGGAGATTTGGGACGTGATTGAGGCTTTGATTGTTAATGTTACTATTGAGCATTCTTGCTATTCAAACCTGATTACCAAATTAGTGGAAAAAAAGAGGTCTTATTTGCTCTGTTTGTGCATAAAGCATGTTTGGGATCTTGGTTCATCAGAAATAATCACCATTTTGAGGTATTTTCTTTCTCCATCCAAAGATGCTTATGACAGTATGGTAACTGTGAAGCTGGAGTGGGAGAGCCAAGCAGTGTTAGCCATTGAGACAGCAAGTGATAGCAAGCTGAAGACGAAGAAATTGGTTATGGCAAAGGAGGCTTCCATTTTGCTTATGATGGCATATGATGGTTTCTCTGCGTCTGAGACTTGTTTGCATTATCTGATTGCTTCATCCAACATCAATGACGTGGTGCTATCCCCTTCATTCGGTAAGTTGAATGGAAAAGAATTACTAAATTTGATTCGCTATTTAGCCAAATGGTTGAAGAAATACCAGAGGTTTCCACAAGCACGACCATGTCCGAGAGCCTCGTCGGTTTTGAATTTGAAGGCTTGCGATTGGGTTCCTAAACTCGAAGATGTTATAAAATATCTTGGCTTGGTGCTTGATGAGAAATTTTCGTCATTGGTGTTACATCCATTGTTTCACGAGGAGCTGAGATCAATTGAAGAAATGGTTAGTTGTTTAACTTCTGAAGCCAAATTTTGTAACTTAATGGCTGATGTAATCGACATACTAAAGATCGATCGTGAAAATTTGTAAGCCTCTACCCAAGCAGATTCATCTTGATTTGTTTTTTCCATCTTTGCTAACGATGTACTCCTAAATGAACAATGGTCAATGAACGCACATCTTTATTTTTGTATATTTTTCACACAACAGTCGATAGAGACCAAACATAAATCCGAGACGTGTATTTTTGTGGTTAAGTAAGGATCAAGATTGCCATTTCATTTGGGAGATACATGTCTTCACATTCTATTTTTGATATCCACGAAAAATATTATTTGAAAAAATGCCTTTTCTTCATTTTTTAGGATTCCAAAACTATTTATTTGAAAAAATATTATTTGAAAAAATGTTTAAAATATAATGAAGTATATAAACATAAGAAAAAAATAACTAAGATTGATTCCAAAACTATTTCATTTATATGTATAATGGTTTTGCATTTTTTTTAAGAGAGATTTCCGTTTTATTGGAAATTTCTAGATTATATGATTTAATATATTATAATTTTTGAACAAATATAAAGTAAACTAAATTAAGATTAAGATTAATAATGAGTACTAAAAAAAAAATAGTAAACTATTAATTAAATCTTCAAACAAATTTATACATAAACATGAGGAAGAGTAAAATTAAATGGTTAGCTTTGCATTTTTAATATGATTTTAATATATTAAGATGTTTTAGGTCGTATTTTTATTGATAAAAATTTAAATTAATTGATTAAAATCATTAAAACTAAATATTTTTTTTATATTTTGCAGTTTTAATTGATTAAACAATGTTTCCAATAAGTTTAAATGCTTTGATCAAGTTTGGTAAAAATTGTTTTCGAAAAATTAATCTATTAAATCTTCTTAAAATGTTTTTGTGTGACTTAGTAACTTTTGTGTTAAATTATTTTAATCGATTAATGTTTTATCAATTAATATGATTTCAAGTCTTAGAATAATTTTTTGTCTCAGCTATTTTAGTCTATTAAAACATGTTTGTACCATTGGATTCGAAAAGTTTTCTGTTCTTTCTATTTTACTCAATTAAATACACTTTTATCAGTTAAAATCTATCATTGGATTCAAATCTTTTTGGCCACACTGTTTTAATGGAATAAATGTGTTTTTATAAGTTAAAATAATTTATTGAAAAATTTATATGTTTTAACCTCTATGTTTTAATCAATTAAAAATAAAATATAATTGATTAAGTAGACGTTTAAGTAAAATTAATTTATTAAAATTGACATATAATTTTATTTAAATAGTTTTTTTTCTTTTCGGTTTAAACATATGATCTTATCATATTTTGAGGGAGATATTTTTGTTTATGTTATGAAATTGTTTTGAGAAAAATATTGTTTTGAGAATCTTGGTTGATTGGATTGGTTCAAACCAATGAATACTAGTATAATTTCTAAACTATTAAAGTCATTATTAATATAAGTTATTATCATGACATTTAATATATTTTTAACTTATAACTTTTCATTATAATGATTTTACCGTTTTATGTATGGGACTACTATTATTATTAGAAAAGGACTAAAGATAAATTTTACAAGTAGTTTAATGCATGTATTGATACTGTTTCCCTATTTTCAGTTAGTATTATATACGGCATAGAATCCTAAAAAAATGAAGAAAAGGCATTTTGTCAAATAATATTTTTCATGGATATCAAAAATAGACTGTGAAGACACGTATCTCCCAAATGAAATGGCAATCTTGATCCTTACTTAACCACAAAAATACACGTCTCGGATTTATGTTTGGTCTCTATCGACTGTTGTGTGAAAAATATACAAAAATAAAGATGTGCGTTCATTGACCATTGTTCATTTAGGAGTACATCGTTAGCAAAGATGGAAAAAACAAATCAAGATGAATCTGCTTGGGTAGAGGCTTACAAATTTTCACGATCGATCTTTAGTATGTCGATTACATCAGCCATTAAGTTACAAAATTTGGCTTCAGAAGTTAAACAACTAACCATTTCTTCAATTGATCTCAGCTCCTCGTGAAACAATGGATGTAACACCAATGACGAAAATTTCTCATCAAGCACCAAGCCAAGATATTTTATAACATCTTCGAGTTTAGGAACCCAATCGCAAGCCTTCAAATTCAAAACCGACGAGGCTCTCGGACATGGTCGTGCTTGTGGAAACCTCTGGTATTTCTTCAACCATTTGGCTAAATAGCGAATCAAATTTAGTAATTCTTTTCCATTCAACTTACCGAATGAAGGGGATAGCACCACGTCATTGATGTTGGATGAAGCAATCAGATAATGCAAACAAGTCTCAGACGCAGAGAAACCATCATATGCCATCATAAGCAAAATGGAAGCCTCCTTTGCCATAACCAATTTCTTCGTCTTCAGCTTGCTATCACTTGCTGTCTCAATGGCTAACACTGCTTGGCTCTCCCACTCCAGCTTCACAGTTACCATACTGTCATAAGCATCTTTGGATGGAGAAAGAAAATACCTCAAAATGGTGATTATTTCTGATGAACCAAGATCCCAAACATGCTTTATGCACAAACAGAGCAAATAAGACCTCTTTTTTCCACTAATTTGGTAATCAGGTTTGAATAGCAAGAATGCTCAATAGTAACATTAACAATCAAAGCCTCAATCACGTCCCAAATCTCCAAAGATACACACCCATTCAATACCAGGCCAGCAACATCTTTACCCACGAATGTTCCAAGCTTATCAATCAAAATCCTGTTATAATCACTACTGGACGTATCGACCTCAATCACAACCCCTACTTTGTCCCTGATGTTTTCTAGATAAGACTTCAAACTACTAATAAACTCACCCTTATCCAAATTATTAGTGTTCATGAACTTAGCATTCAGCTGTGTAAAGAACTTTTTGTTAATGTCAGTGATCTCAGCATCAGTTGGCGGAACATTCCATCCGATAAGGGGCTTTATGAGTGATGAAGAAGATTCATCTATATCTTTTGGCTTTAAATTGGGTAAGATACTATCTGGGTTCAGAACAATTGGGTAATCCAAAGGTAAATCAAGCGGTTTTGAATTGATTGAAGCATCCTTGATTACCTCTAACAAAGTCATGGTTGAAATTGCAAGATTCCTGCAAAAAAACAAAAAAAAAAAAGCCTCAGACACTCAAGTGAAGACACAAAACCAGAAAAGAATTTCATTTTACTTAACTGCAGAAATGAAAACAGTTACTCGTATATGACTGTGAAAGAGAAAACATCAAAGAAGCATTTCATTTTATTTAGTTTCAGAATAGAAAAAACAAAACATGGAAAAGGAATGCATGAGAAGTGACAAAAGCTCATAAAGAAAACGCACTTATAGATCAAAGGGGCAGTTGAACATCACACAAGGGGTGGAAAGAGATCAGATCAGACCAAGATTTCTGAAGCCCAAGCCTGACCTTGATTGAAAATACAAAGCCTAAGCTCAACTATTTTACCAGCGATAAAGCCTTCTCTAAAAGGATTAGCCTGACCTATGTAAATGTGTGGCTTGGCCAAGCCTATGAGTTTGTTCAAAGGTTTGTTTTGTGATAAGACCCGTAAATAGGCCCTATCCATATAATTTCAAAAGCTGAAACTTTGATGGAAGAAGAATAGAAACAACAACTCATGTATGTATATGTATATATATATATATATATACGTATATGTGTATATATATATATATATATATATATATATATAGAGAGAGAGAGAGAGAGAGAGACAAAAAAATGGAAAGTTTACATCATACTAAAAGAATTTTAGAAACATATGAAATCTCTAATAAGAATTGAGGGTGGCATTCAATGACATATAAAAAACTATTAATACAGTAATAATCGTTAGAAATCAAGGAATCAGAACCGTAAAAAAGATGACAGAATCTAAGCCCATACAGCATATTGGCTACTGAAGCAACTGTTGATGTCAAAGCTACACATGGATCTATCTAAATTTAAAGGGATTCAAGTTCAACATTTTTTTCACTGCTAAACATGGGATGGAATCATGTCCAGTTACCAGAAATTGTGATTAGCAACTGCAGTGTCATGTGACGGTAACCAAAATTCCAGCGCCAAAGGCTCCGCGCAAGATACGGGAAAGGGTCATTGTACACTGTGTTACCCTTGCATATACAAAGAAGCTGTTTCTAGATTTGAAACCATGACCAACCGGTCACCAAAAACACAACTTCATGGTTGTGTGAAGCTCGCACTCTTAGATAACATGTCTTTCAATGTTGTAAAACACACTCAACCTAAAGTATTATACAGTTATCACTGCATGCAGCACACCTTCATTGATGAAGGTGATAAAAGCAAGAACATAAATAACATTGGAAAGTAAAATTAAAGGTTCAATTCATTCACATTCACAGGTGTATAAAGAGTTACCTCTGATACAGGCACAGGCGCAATTCGAAGGATATTCTGGCAGGCGTTGATAAGAGGAAGCAGACTAGAGCAAGGTAGCCAATAGAGAGAAACCAATAAGGGATTAAGAAAACGCCCCAAAATGATAAGGAATCGAAGACCAGAGAGAAAAGTGGAGAACAGCAAAAGGAGGAGGGACAATAATCACCAAACGGTGCGCAGCCTTTCCCCTTTCTACTGGAATGCCAGGGTTTAGGGTTTTGTCATTTTAATCTATGCTTGAATTAAAAAAAAAATGTCGAAATATTGTAATGTTTAAATCTTTATAAAACAAATTACACAGTTGATTAATCAAAATACTTTTATACAATTTTAAAACTATTATTATAATTTTTTTTAAATTGATCTTTTATTATTACATGGAAATTGTTAAAACAAGTATTATTTATTAAATGTTTTATTTTATATTATTATTTTTTAAATAACATCACTTATTATTATTATTATTATTGATGGAGATTAGAAAAAAATGATATTGGAATTCTATAATTAGGTCTAAAATTAAAAGGGAGAAGCAAATTTAATAAAATAAATTGATGAATATTAAAGAAATTACATCATAATTGATATTTTAAAAAAAAAGTTTTTGTCAATACCCTAAACTCACCAAACAAAAAACTATCACATTTTAATTCTGATGATTAATGAAGCTTAGTGAATCATTAAGATGATTAGTAGGAAGTAAAATCTTATTAATATATTTACTTTTATTATTTTAAGGATTGTCTAGCCTTAGCCTACAAAGAATAACTTTATGGAAGTTTCTCATTTTGAGAGTTTTCTGTGTTCTTGTTAATTCTGGTAACGACGAGTTACAGGTCACGGAAGTCCCCTTTTGGTCAAATTTTCAATCTTTCTTTCCAATTTTGAAGACCATTCATAAATCATATTTATATAAATAAATAATCTAATTTAAAATCATTTAACACACTAATATATTACACCCTGGAAATAATATCTGTTACATAAATGTAAATTTTTTGAAATAAAAGTATATAAACTATAAGTAAAAAGACGTTGCATTTATAATATATTTAAATATAATTTTTAGAAAAATCCGATTATACTTAAACATTTTTTGTCATATATTTTGTTGAATAGTATATAGTATAATTTTGAAGTAAAGAGTGCTTCCATTTATTATGTCAGAACCTCAACCAATGACAAGCACAACAATATATTAGATGTAAAAAAGCTTATTCAAAAATCAATTTCCATAAATTTATTCAAAACTCTAAAAATATAGTGAGGGTTTATGGCATAATAAACTACATGCTAATATACTTCCTCCCCATTTACATTCCTAATCTCATCATTTCAATCACAAACAAGACTCCTAGTTTTGCATTCCTCATCTATTGTTCCTATCATAAGACTTTCTTTTCAAGTAGATGGAGGAATTTCCCAATTCTTTGACACCGGCCCATAATCATAGATAACTTCTCTGTGACAAGACCATACAAGTTTTATGGCCTCTGGAGTACCAATTCCTGCACCTCTAGGATCACCGGCGGGTCCAAACCTGCAATGAAATTATTATTTCCAACATGACATCACTGGTCATTTATTTGCAAGTAAAAAAGTTAATATATATATATATATATATATATATATATATATATATATATATATATATATATATATATCATTTTACCAATGATTCTGTGGAGCTCCGGTTGTCCTTGCTCTTAAACCAGCATAAGTAGTACCATTTACCGTCTTGCCAATGACTTCCTGCAAATATGCGTTGCATCACAAATGTGGAGATCCCAACATAAAACAATGGCCATTCATGATAACGTTTCTGAATATATCAACTTATATATGTGCTCAGCAGACAAGTCATATCAATTTTGGAATTGAACTCTAATTACCACGAAAAATTCTTGCAGGCAATTTTATCTAATATGCAGAATAGATTTTTAAATGTTCAGTATATATATATAGTGTAATCGACTAAACCTCTATAATTTTGTTTCATGAATCAAATATGAAAGACGAGAAGTTCATGATTTTCTAACAAAAATGAGAAATGAGAAAATTTAAAATGAAGTTGATATGAGTGAGACCTAGATTTCAAAAATTGATGAATTGTTTCATGTCACATGCCCTAGAACCAGTAATAAGTTTGAGTAATAAAATCCTTACCTGCACAAATAAAGGATCATTCGAAACTACAGCAGCTGTCAAATGGTTATGCATTCTTTCCAAAGCATCCAATACAACTGATAGTTGACTATTTTTGTAATCGGTAATAATCTGGAAATATAAAAAGAAATTATTTATATCTCAACAGAACAAACTAATGTTATTTTTGTTTTAAACAACATGCATCTGCAAACTTCATTCTCATATTTTTTTACTCTCCCTTCCCATACCTGGAAGGGTCCGAATATTTCTTTTGTCACAAGTTCAAAATTGTTATCCTTCATAATTTCCTCAAGAGGAACATAAACAGCTGTTGGTTTAATAGCACCATAAATAGACGGAATTGAATGATCCTCCAAAGGTCGACCTCCGAAGAGCAGCTTTGATCCTGGTATCTCAAGCAACTTATTGACATGTTCAAGCATAGAATCAGTCGTAACCTGCAACATATGAGATGAAAAATAAAGAACTCAAAATCAAGTAAATGAAAAACTAAATAAATATTACAACAACCTGTTTAGACGCATTATCTTTTATTGCTGTACCCAATGGCAGATGCATTATATCTTTCTGGTATTATTAACTTTGACTGGACTGTTCAGTTTGACCAGATGCCAGAAACTGAACCTATAATAGGTTCGGTTTGTCTTTCAAACGGGAATTGCATTCAACTTGTTTGAACTTGGGTCTAGGGGAATCACTTTTTAAATTCTAAAATTTGAAGAAGAAAAAAAATAGTGCATGTTGTGGGAACCAAACACCAGTTTCAGTCTCAGTTTCAGATAATGGAAAAGGATTTATATTTACCAAGCTAAGACATTTGATTATGTACTAGATATTCTCTATAATAAGATTTATATTTTTAATAAATAACGTACATGTAGTTTAAGCAATAGTCAACTAGTGATCTATTGACTTGTATCTTGACCAATCGGTCTAGTTTTTAATAACATTATTTAACTAGAAGAATGTCACAAACTTCGAGCAAGCCACCAAAAAAACCTTTAAATGTTAAATCCTGGTTCAATTACTTAAAGGGGGAGATGATGGACATGTAATACTTACTGTGAGGACTGGGCCAATTGTCAAGTCTGTCAACTTTCTTCTTTCAGCAAGATCTTTTAACTTCGATAGCAAGGAAGTTTTAGACCAGTTCTGAACCAGATAAATTCAAAACTTCTAGTTAGTAGAGACACAATACATATAAAGTGTATTTTACAAAATAAAAAGTTAATGTATATCTTCACAGCAGTTCTTGAAGACATATAATCATGAACAAAATCTCAAGATACCGAATGTGACAGACCTCGTGCATAAATAATAATGATTGGGCAGAGCATTTCTGACCACTGCATGCATATGCATCTTGATCACACACCCACGCAGTGTAATCTTCCTGAACCAAGAAACCATAGAGAAACTATTAATGAACAGAAAATTGAGTTAGTGCCTTTATCATGTCCAAAAAAAAAATTGTAAGAAACCTGATGGACATCAGGACCCAGTATTTTCCAGTCAAATCCAGCATCTTCCAATTTAACACGGCCCTTCAAATCAAGGGCTAACTTCTCAGCCACTCTTGAACTACCAGTAAAAAGGGTCATTCGTGGATTTGCCTGTAAATTCAATACTACTTCATGATCCAATATCATCTTATAAAAGGAACATGTAACCATGTACAAATATCATCCGCAAAATGAACATTGACATTATCATGAAATAGAATCATAAATATAATCCTCTGCGGAATCAAAGCATTGGATGAACAGCCAACCAACCTCCAGTAACAGTTTGTTCATTGTCTTCCCGTCAGAATTTATGAAGTCTACATCTTCAACAGGTAAGCCACAGGTGTGAAGCAGACGTAACATTTGTTCCATGACAATGCTCACCTACAACAATTTGAGTCAATAATTCAGGATTATAACTGAAAAAAAAATTAAAATATTAAAAGCAAAGAGTTAACATTTCAGAAATCAAACAGTTTGAAGATGAAGACAAGAATGTGAAAAGGAAATAAATACAATGGTTTCTTTAGGCATGAACCCCTCCCCCAACACACATAAACGCACACATGTAAGAAAAAAACATTGCATCACAACTATTTTCACCATAACTGATTGGATTAAATATCTCATGTAGCCCTAAAGCTAGCCCTGTATCAATTTTGAATTAAATGTCATAAAGTGTCCCCAAATCAGAGTCAAAAGAACTCACCTTGCTATCAACTTTAAGGACTGGTTTGTTGCCCATATAGAGTGCACCCATCAATTGAAGAACAGGAATCTCTAAGGGAAAATTAAAAGGAGTAATAATTGCCACCTACAAAACACACTTTCAGCTTTAAGATTACAGTAGGAGTGATAGGTAAATGTTTATGATGTCCGAAAGAAAAAGAAAAAAAAAAACAATCTATGAATTCACATACTAAATCAGACACCCATGAAAAAAAAACTCTAAAACTTCTCCACATTGCAGCACTAATCTAAGAAAAATTCAATTCAAAACAAGAAAACATCTCATGATTTTCAATGTTTTATCTTGAGTAGAAGTCAAGTCAAATCGATACAACATAAACCTTTTTGTACAAGAAAAAAGAAAGAAACTACTTTTAATCAAAGATAGCAATCATAGCATTTACCTCATAAAAGACTTAAGTTTTCTAGTAGGTAAGAATACCTGAGTTCAGGGTTTTGCCTTTATTATCATATGTAACTAATTGAAAGCGCACGCAACATTCTTTTTTTTCTTTTTGGGATAACAAGCCTAAAAGAATCAAAGGGAAATCAGCCACTCCTGCCGTGGCCATTATTGTACAACTGAATTGCGTGACCACAAGGTAATTGATAGTTTTGACACACCAAACAAAGCACTGGTTAGCAAATGAAAAACTCATTTTTTTCCTTTAGTATATAGCATATCAGGTAAACCAATGATAATCGTGAAAATTTTAAACAAAACATAATCCTTACAGGACCATAGGGCCAACGAAAACCATGACTTTGTTGTCCAAGATGATTTCCGGTACTGCAAATGATCTTGCTAAGAAACGAACCTATCAAGATTTTGTTAAATGAAACAACAAAGAAGAAATCAATACAGGAATTATGAGATTATGAGCGACTGTCTCTACACATGTGCAAGTATCAGTGTTTAATTTTTCCACTAATGAAGAATCAAAGCATCAGCAAAATAAAGGAAATTGATCATATCTGTCAATCAATGGGTAATTTAGATTCTTTCATCTATCCATACAAAGAATGGTATATCAGTACTTAACATTTCATTTAATTAGCACTAGCATGTCTTATTTTGATATACCTGATCCCCGCAAAAATTCTCTAGAAACTTTTGTGTCACATAGACTTCTCCAAAAGCCTGCTGGTAACTCTTTGGAGAAACTCTTTGTATTAACCTTGTAAAGAAATCTGAAACCTGAAGGCCATGCAGTATAAGTTATTTAAAGCATCCAATGAAAGAAGAAAACGTTGATCTTGAATACAACAGGTTTCAATATATAATAAAGTAACATTAAAAAAATAATGATAAAATTAAATCATCTTTCTTGAATTTAAAACCTTAGGAAGTGATAGCATGTGAGCTGCCTTAGTAGATATGTCTCCATACATAAGATATCTGCAAAATATTTATAGCAAAAGCCATATTAAATTTCAAGAAGAGGGTGAAAATAAGAACATGAGAATAGATATCATGCTTGTAACTACAATGCCCAAGTCAGTTGATTTTTCTAAGTAAAAATGAAAGCTGCAAAATGAGAAAATTTGTTTATTCTCATACTTATCATAGGCAGTTTTAGAATACCTGGGTCCCATGTATTTTAGTTACCCCTCTTAGGAGAAGTTTAAAACCAACCGGATGAGATAGAAAGTTCATTCTACCATCCAACAATTGTTAAGTCAGGAATTATGGAAACACACCTAAGCACTTCCATTCACACCAAACAAAATCAATCGGAAAATAGCTTCAGGT